AATAGTATAAAAATTGAAGAATAAATAAAGATTTGTAAAATAATGCATGCAAAAGATCACACAGATCATCAAAGAAAAAATTAGTAAATTAAATTTCTTAAAAAATAAAATAAAATCAATTGTCAAAATATAGATGTAAAAATATATTATTTAAAATTAAAAATAAAATAAAATCTGTGCATCGCACGGATTATCTCCTAGTATGATCACATTTGAACATTAAATTTGATAGTTTTATATGTAAATTTGGATTTTTGAATTGAGTCAAAATTTTAGATTTCTGATTAGTGAAATAGCAAATTTTCATTTATTATGATCATGTTAGTTTTGATCCGTTCATAATTAATTATATGGCAAAAATATTTTAGGCATAAAATTCTTTAATTTATTAAAAAAACCAACCTCTTCTAACAAATTTGATGAATATCGTTTAATATGCGTTTCAGAGAGGATGTACAGATCCCCGTCAATTTTTCTTTATGTGTATGGTCTAATATTTGTTTATAATCTTCTACATAGCGAATTCAAATTGCAATCGTATGTGAAAATTGATCCAATTTTTTTTTATAAATTTAAATTAATCAAAACTAATATAAGGATAGAGATAAAACTCATTTATTAAACTTCAAAAAATTCTAAACTAAAAAGAAAAAGAAATATTAGCTATAAATACGACTGTTTAACTTTATGAAGTTTGTGGGAATGGAACAAGTTGTGGAGGAAGACGAAAGGACTCTTACCGTCTTCATTCTTTTCACATTCCGTCCATGTGTGTTTTAGTTTATTTTAAAAATAATTTATACTTTTCATACCTATTAAATTTGGACTAAACTTCCTTGTATAATCAAACCAAACTTAATGCATCACCATTTTTGCTTTTTCGTGGCTCAACAAAATCATGCAAACAAAAATTGTATACTCTTTTAATATAAATATATAATTGTTGAATGTATCAAATTATAATCAATTTGGATTGTTGTGATCATAAAATGTTTGAAATATATAAATAAGACATCTTTGAAAGAATATATAGAAAAAATTGGTGCGTATGCGCGGATATTCTCTTAGTAAAGATAATAGTCTCTCTTCTATTTCTCATTGGATTTAAAATAAACTAGATTCTGACCCGCCTGTGAGGACGAGAATTTTTTTTGTTTTTGAAAAAAAAAGTTTTTTAAAATTAAGAAAGATTATATAATTTTTTGGATAAGTTATATATCCGTTTAGACTGTATATAAGAAATATGAGATAAAATCATAGATTTGTTTTGTTTGTAAAGTATAAAGTTGGTGTTTGGTAGAGATTGTTAATGTGTACATATAAAATCATTTTTTTAGACTTAACCCGGACCTGCGATTGAACCGGTAAAACCGGTGTCCCTCATAGGATTGTTCAATATAGGTATCAGTTTGGTTTTGGTTCAGTTTTCCCAGTTTTTCGATTTTTTGGTTAGTAAAAACTAACTACCATTCTAAAACGTCTTGGATTCGATTTGGATACCTTAAGTTTTTGATTTATTCGGTTTTTAACCAACAGCCAAAAGTTTTGTTTGATATATCATACAAAATTATAATTTAATATTTTTTAACATAATCAAAGAGAGAACTAAACTTAAAATCAAACTAAAATTGAATAAAAGCAAAGTTTGAGTTTCTTATATTTTCTTTCAATAAGAAAAATATTATTTTCAGGTGACGGCTGCTTTATCTAGTTTTTTATTGTTAACAACATAATATTAAATTGATTAAACTGTTTTATATTAAATTTTGTTTGGACATTAAGTTTGCATAATTTACATATATTTAGTGTATAATATGTACTTTATACTATTACTAGTATTTTGTCCATGCTACGCGTGGATTATATAGTTATATTGTAGTTTTATAAAAAGTTATCAATTAATTTTGTGTTTAATATTGTGATAAATTATAGAGTAGTATATTTGCAAGTGATTCTTAGATATAATCGAGCGAAGTAAGTATCAGAAGGATATATATATATATGTGAAAAGATGATCAAATTTTTTGTATAATAATTTGAAAATAGATTAATATACCTTTTGGCATAATTAAACTTTTTTTTAAGAGTTAATGTATGTTTTTGCAAATATGAAGGGTAAAATTTGACATTTTTGTATAATAATTTGATTTGTAATTATGTTATATTTTTTGTTTATGTAAATAGTATCCACATGAACTATATATGGACATCTTATGTTATAATGTTATTTCTTTAGTGAACATCATGAGTATTTTTTTATACTTTCAAAAATATTTTGCATAAGCTTCCCTTTCGCTTGATGCTTTTAAAAAGAAAAACTCAATCCTTACTTCATTTTTGTTTCATATTGTGTATTAGGATTTTGTTTTTAATTTTCATATAGTATGCATTTCTCTACTTATCAATTTTTTAAGATTCAGTATGTACATAGATGTTTTATAATTAGTTCATATATTCAACGAAGAAAACAAATGACAATTAAACTTTTTTATTATATGAGTTCTTTATTGATTGATATAATATTTGTTTGATAGTTTAGCTAGCTCAATCATTTGCCAATATTGGTGAAGAGTGTGAAATTTATCGTTATATTTTATTTGAAAAAAAAACTTATCACTTTGTATGTTTCATGAAATTTTGCAAATAAAAATAAAAAAACGGTGAGTAACTGTCTTTAATCACCGGTTCTTTAGTTAGGTTTTTACTTCAGTTTTTCTACAATGTCGGATTACAACGAACAATATGGAACTCTATATCAGCTTTAGAAACTTGAAATCTGTTATAAGTTAAAAAGTTACAATTGTATAAATTAATTTTCTCTGGACGAAAGAAAACTGAGTCGCTCTTTAAGTTTTACTTTTGGCGAGAAAGACGTTCTCCAGTTTCAACAATAAATTATTATTATTGGTTGGAAAATATGACATAGCAGTTTTGAAATCTACCATGGTTAATTATTTTTGCTGATGTGGTATATTGTCTTATTCTTATTGGTTAGTTTTTTTTATAATTTAACGATGTGGCAATTTGTTATATTTTTATTGGCTGATTATTTTTGCCTATGTGGCACCCCTTAGAGAGCAGAAAACATATCCTTTTTATATAAAGGAGATATTATAATTTAAGTTAATTGTTTTAACTAATTTAATCAGTTTATATCCAAACCATATCCAAATACTACGATTTTGAAATTATTATATTCATACGGTTAATATGGTATAGCCAAAATCCAATCATATGTTCTATTTCGGTTCGGTTTGGTGTGGGGCCCCTCAAATAATCTAGTTCGGCTTTAGCGCTAATATGAGCTACTTGAAAACCCGCTAAAAACCAGAAAAACTACTATCAACCTGTGATACGGTTACTGATTCAACCGGTGTGTGACAATAACAAAGATTTGTTTATGACTTTGTAGTTTCCTGATTTTTCCTGATTTTTGTCCTTTAGTTTCCTGATAATCACTCGCTTTTTCCTGATTTTTGTCCGTGCTTGAGTTGGGTAAAAAGCCAAAACAATAGGTGGTAATTTTTTGTATGTTAGGTGGGGAATGGTCCGTGGGAATGAAGCAAATGGTCCGTACTTGTAGTTGATCAGTTTTTGAAATGGTTCTTGTAAGACTAAGCTTGCTCTTCCGAGCTCTTGAAATCGAATGTGACGGTTCTGTTTTCTTGTGACCTTTGTTTGGACAGCTGGCGAACTTGGCTGCCTACTTTGGACTTTGCAACCAGACGCATGTTAACAATATATTAATATATGTTAATGGTTCTATTTGTGAGAATTGAGAGATTAGTGCTTGATTTGCAAGATCAAAGCTTGCTTGACTTGCTTGACCTGAGTATGAATGAAGAACAAAGCATAAAACGATTTTGGGGAAGAGAAGAGAGAATATTACTTTTTGTGCTTATAATATTATTTGCTTACAATGTTTGCTTATATGTGCAAGTTACAATAAGAAGTAGGTAAGACATATGGTTAAGAATATCTAATAACACTTGGCTAGGAGAAGAGTGAACAGTGGTGAAGAGAAAAGCTTGCCATTTCTATAGAATAGAAATCATCTTCGCAGACTGGACTTTATATAGAATATAAACCATCTTGGCAAACTGGATTTTATATAGAATAGAACCTATCTTGGCAGACTTATCATTTTTCACAGTAGACTTCTGATTTTCAACAGCAGACTTCTCAACACTATTAAAGGATTTAACGTTATATTTATTTTGACTAAATCGAAACATTATATCTAAAAAATATATATATAGTTAACGAAAATGAAATTTAATGATTAAAATAACCGATTTTAAAGTATATATTTTAAATGGCTAGGAGAAGAGTGAACAGTGGTGAAGAGAAAAGCTTACCACTTCTATAGAATAGAAACCATCTTGGCAGAGAATATAAACCATCTAGACTGATCGTGGCAGACTTGATCATTTTACACAGCAGACTTCTGATTTTCAACAGGAGACTTCTCAACACTATTAAAAGATTTATATTTATTTTGACTAAGTCGAAACATTAAATCCAAAAAATATATAGTTAACGAAAATAAATTTTAATGATTAAAATAACCGATTTTAAAGTATATATTTTAAATGGCTTAAATTTGAAATTTGATTTTTTATTGAAAAATTGGTTCCTTCCGGTAATCGATTGATTGACTTCTTTATTAGGCGAGGTCTCCAATGTCAATTGTCAAACGCAAGAATTGGTGTTTGGTTGATAGAGAGAGTGGTAGATTATTCGTTAACTATTATTGCTACATGGCTACACCAGAGAATAATGACAGGTAGCGAAACAATGTCAGAGCTTTAAAATCATCTAGATACGTGTTCGTAATTAACTTGTTTCATCCCATCAAACTCCAGTTTTGGTTAATATTATAAGTATACCTTCCCTGCTATATATACATGTAGACTAGTGAAACCTATTCATTTCCAATTACATTTTTTTTTCCAATTACATTTTCATTTGGTGCTAAGATCTCACTGAAATCCTAAAAAATGTCTTACTCTTTACGTGAGACTTCACTCCAACGACTCCGCCGTAATCCACTGTCATTCATGAAATGGATTGACAAAGTGAAGGATGTGTTTCACTGGGAGTGTTCGCTGGAAGGTCCGGAAGGTTCTCCATATGAAGGCGGGGTCTTCAAAATCTCTTTGACTTTCCCTCAGGAGTATCTGAATATGCCGCCGAGAGTTAATTTCATCACTCCAATCTACCATCCAAATGTCCCAGAGATGGAATACTGCTATGACGGTGGCAGATATCATTGAGACTGTTTGGAATTTGATGGTGGAACCGAGTCTCGAGAACCCAATGTACGTGGTGGAAGCCATTCGTGACGAGTACTTACAGAACAATGAAGTATTCGTGTGGATTGCCCGTTCTATGACTGAGAACCAAGGATTGCAAGATTAGTGTTAAATCAGTTGTTTTTGTGTGTTTTTTTTTCTGTTGCTTTTTCTATTTCAGTTAGATGTGATCTCATGCCTTTATTGGAGGTCCGTGTATGAGTTCCGTTTTGAAAGTCTTCCGGCTGTGTTTAAGAGATTGTCTTCTCTTCACTCTACATGGTTGATATTGGTGTATGGATTTTACTCGGGTAGTTGAAGTATGTTTGTCTTTCTGCTGTATAAAGGTTCCATGATTTCCTCTTTTGGGCTTTATCTCTCCCTCTTTTGGGCTGCTGGCTTCGGAAGGACTTGATCCTTGCCGACTTTGTGTGTCATCTCAATCTTAAAATCAATATAACTCCATTAGATGAATTTAAGATATTTAGTACATATATAGAATAAAAATATTTATTTCAACGTGAAATTCAACAGAAGAACAGAGTTAAGAAAAGAATGTATTGAGGAAACTTACAAGATATATATAATAGAATGTGTTGAGGATACTTACAAGATATATATAATAGATTGTCTTTCAGGAAATTTATTGTTAATTTGGACAGTAGACCTGTGAACACCTTTCCAAAACGGCATGATATTGCTCGCAGTCGAGCTATAGTTTCTGGTTATTTTCTTAGATACAGAGGATCTGATAAGAAAAGACGAGACAGTCTAATCTTATGTGATGTTAGACAAATAATGACACCAATTGTTAGACAGTCGTGTTTTTTGTCACATTAATAAAAAAATTGTTAGATTAATTTTCCAACGTAGTCTTTATGGAAAGACCTTGGTCGTGTTTTTTGTTACATTAATAAAAAAATTGTTAGATTAATTTTCCAACCATAGTCTTTCTGGAAAGACTCCAGCAAAATTAATGAAACTCTACTTTACTTACTTTGGGCCTTGGTCGTGTTTTTTGTCACATTAATAAAAAAGGGATAATTAGAAAAATAGGATAGATTTTGAAAAATATTGTCTCATTAATATTTTTTTAAAAACATTATCCAATTAATACTTTAAATAATACAAAACCTAAATTACCCTTTAAATATTAAAAATATCAAAAGAAAAAAATTCTTGAAAAACTATTTAGAAGAAATTGAAAAAACAAAAATTATTATAATCCAAATATTAAACATAAAAATATGCGTTATTGTCCTGATAAAAAAAAATTCTTCTAATCATCGGGTCCTCTTCTTCTCCTCCATCGACCCTCCATCGTCATAATCTTTCGCCGGCCTCATCCTTCGCTGGCCTTCTCCTCCACCGGCCTCCTCCTCCTCCATCGACGTCCTCCTCCTCCATCGGCGCCCTCCTCTTCCGTCGGCGTCTAATAAACCAAATTCTGTTATTTTTTCTATTTTCTCCTCTTCCTTATTTCCTCCACATTCACCTCATTCACCTTCTTTTAGCATGTGCAAGTATTCTGGTATTCTACCATATCTTTTTTACGGAATACCTCTAACAGCATTAACTGCATACTCACAGGACTCCCATGCTTGGTTATAAGAGATCTCGCAACCATGGTCCACACGCATAATCTGTATAATATCATTCGGCTTAGGCCCTTCCTTGGCACCCTCATACTTGTGCATAATCAGATTGCCAATCGTTTTTGCTGAAGATGTCCTACCAGATTTGTTTTTCCTTGAAGGAGCACATGTATGTTTAGCCACATACTTGTTGATTTTGAAATAGGAAGATCTATTTAAAGACTCAGCACGAACAGCCCACTTGCATACTTTATCTGTGCAGCGTATACTCCACCATCTTGTAGTAGATTGTACAACTCTGTAGTCAAAATTATACTTCATTGCACAAATTTCCAGAGTTGCCTTCCAAAACGTTTTTGCTTCCGAAATGCTGTCCCTTCTTCACACAATCCACTAGCCAAAACTGATCTTCCTTTTGATTGCCTTCTTTGTTTTCAGACATGACTTCATCATCACCACCACAATCATCATTCACCTTAGCCACATTCACAAATTCTTCTGATTTTTCAGGCAAGTTAACATCATCTTCTCCAACACTTGAATGAGATGGTTCCTTATTCAAATCAATGTTGAGTCTACTTTTTCGATTGTCAACTAGAGCTGTAAATGTCACACACAACTGTACTGACAAATACTTCCTTGCATATCCAACAAAATTTCTCACTTGCCGATCATTTGTGATAATAACTGGAGGAGATCCTAAAGTACTGATCAAATCGATAGGTAGCTAACTGAACTCGATATAACTAATGCATTGTTCAATTCTGTAGTCCTCTAAAACCATCGTCTTTAACTCCTCAAGACTGGTAATAGATTCCAAATCAAGTAATATACCTCCTCTCTTTTTTTTATCAATGATGAATCTCCACTCCTTGTTCACATCCGATTTCCATACACCACATTTTACATAGATATGCCGCATAATAATTGAACAGAAAACGCAGAGAAGAAAAAATCCTAGAAAAAGAGAGAAAAGAAAGAAATCGAGAGCTTGTGGAGTTATGGTCTTTGAAAGAGAAGAGAAGTTACGCTCTTTGAAAGAGAAGAGAAAAAACCCTAGAAAAAGAGAGAAAAAAAAGAAATCGAGAGCTTGTGGAGTTATGGTCTTTGAAAGAGAAGAGAAGTTACGCTCTTTGAAAGAGAAGAGAAATAAATTTAGAAAATATTCAGTTAGGATTTTTTCCCTTTTTTCCTGATTTTTCTCAGATTTTCGTAGAAGACATATTATACATAGAAGACACCTTCTACCGTTAAGTAGACAGTAGAGTAAATGGTAGAAAATGTATTCTACCACCAGTAGATGATAGAGAAAACAGTAGAAAATATATTCTACGGTCGGTTGATGATAGAGCAATAAGCAGAACACATATTCTGCCACATCGTAGATGGTAGAATTTGAATTCTAACTTTCGGTATAAGAGAAGAAAATCAGTTTTTCCCAGCAATTTTTTTCATAAATAGATAGTTCTTTGCTTTTATGTATTTTTCATAACATAATTTGTATTTTTCAGATTTTAAAATAATTTATTAAATTTTTTTAATTTTTACATAAAGGTTTTTTAGTCAAAAATTGATAAAAATTTAAAAAGTTTTAGTAGGACAATAAATTAGTTTTTTGACTTATTTACACAAATTTCCCAAAAAAAATTGTTAGATTAATTTTCCAACATAGTCTTTCTGGAAAGACCTTGGTCGTGTTTTTTGTCACATTAATAAAAAAATTGTTAGATTAATTTTCCAACATAGTCTTTCTGGAAAGACTCCGACAAAATTAATGAAACTCCGGGACGACTGCGTTACAGGTAGGTTATTGAATTTTTTTAAGTTTGATTTTGTTTGAATTTACAGAGGAAAGAGAATTTAGATTTAATTTCTGGTTATCATTGATTATCGTTTTTATTATAATCGCTTCATATGCTCCAACTCTCAGATAGAACCATTGTAATGCATTACCTTGATGATGAGAGTGATTACCTTGATGATGAGAGTCTTTAGATTTGGTGATTTCTTTAGCAGAATTGGCAGTGAAACCCAGAAGTTGTACGGAAAGCCAACAGATAGACGAAACAGATTTTTAAACACCGAGGTTACATTACGGAAGACATAAATCATCTGAAAACATAAGACAAAATGTAAAACTCTGAACTTAAGTAAGACGCTCTCCGGCTTTTCTGTTGATCAAAACTCGCCCATGGGATCATTGGTTCATGGGTCTATTCAAGCGTTCGGGTAATTGGTTCGGTTTGTAGGTGATTGAAAAAATCTCTTAAACGAAGAAACCTGATAATATGGATGATGAGTTGAAGTTGATCCGTCTGTATAGCCACGAATATCCACGGAAATGGGCAGCTGCCAGCGTTCAAGGTACCTTGATCTACCAGTGCATTTGATGATGCATCAACTTCCACTCATCCGTTTTATTATAAGGTTTTCTCTCATGAAAAACTGGTAAAAACAATTCATAATTTCAGTTTCACTCTTTTTTTTTATTGTGAGTGGAAGTTGCTGCATCAAACGTGAGTGAAATTTTTTCAATTTGCTTTTTATTTTATAAAAAAATTAGTTTCATATTATTTTTAATAAATTACAAAATTTGACCATCCATTACTCTAAATTCATTAATTTTATTACCAAAAGTATAAATAATTACATAAATTTTATTTTATTTTTTCATTTTATAATTTATAATTTTTGAAAACTTTTCCCTTTTTATAATTTTTTGGGATTTTTTCGGAATTTTTTAGATTTTTTTGAGAAAAAATATAAAATTTTTATTTAAATATTTATATTTTATTCCAAAGTTAATAGTGTTATTAATTCTGTTAACATCCGTGTATGAAACGTCCAACGTTTAAAAATTCGTGTATTATTCTAGCAACAAAAAATAGTTTGTGTATTATTCCGGCAACGCTAAAAGTTTGTGTATTTTTTTCAAAAGATATAATTAAGTTGGTGTATATTTTGGGAATTTTTCCACAAAAATCGGTTTTTGTTATAAATAAAAAAGGGAAAGAAGGAATTGTTGTATTGCATTCTTGTGTTTTCTAAGATTGGAATGTTGAATCTTTATAAGTTATAACTCTTTTGGATAAGCTAAGCTAGTTGGATTTTTCCTGAACATGATGATTTTGCCTGAATATAATTGATTAATAATGTGTAGAAAAATACAGGATTCAAACACAATTGAATTGAATTTGAGATTGATTAACATATATTAATTCAAATAGAGTTTGGACCCAGATGGATACCCAAGACCATCATTTATGGGTTTAGTCTATACACAGAAAAAGAATTTTGGGTTGAAAATGGGTTGGGTCTAATTACTAACCATTTTATTTGGGTCTTGTCCAATTGGTATTGGGTTGCCAATAGGTATATAAAAAAAATCAATCGATCTCTTCTCTCCTTCTTCTTCGATCTCTTCTTCGAATATCAGTTTCAGTATCGAGTGGCGAGTGACAACCAAGGGTTTCGAGCTTCAGTCCTTTCGGCTTATCTTTAGTCTGGGTTTGCTCATCGTTCTTCCCTCACCTCAAGCGCTGTTCTCGCAGGATCTTTGCTGTCAAGTCCATTGGCGTAAGTTATAGCAATGTATACTTTGTAAATTGATTTTTCTTTTCTGTGTTTCTGTCAATAAGCTTAGCTTCGTGAACTGTCGGATTGTTGTAACTTGTAAATGATTTTTCTGTCAATAAGTTTTCTGGGTTGTTGTGAATCGAGTTTGCTTTTGCGTGTGGTGTCATCTTACTTGTGGAATGCTTGAATTCGTGATTGACTAAGTTTTCTGGGTTTCGGTCAATAAGTTTTCTGGGTTGTTGTGAATCGAGTTTGCTTTTGCGTGTGAATTTGATAGTAAAGTGAAGGTGAAGTGTTTGAGTGTTGTGTGAATGTTAAGTCTCGTTGGCTTTACTGTTGTTTCATAAATCTCTCTTCTTGTTCCTTGTGATTTGTTGCGTAAGTATTAGGATTTGTGTCATAAATCTCTCTTCTTTTTTTGGTCATCTTAAGATTGCCATTGCCACTTTGGATCAGTTTCTATGGGTTTATGAACTCCACACAGTTTCATAGCTGATCTTCGCATATGTAACATGACTCAAAGAAAGGTAGTCTTTGATACTTTTTATGTGTACCTAAGAGTCTAAGGCTCCGATTGGTAACACATTTTTTATGTCGTAGAATTGCGGAATGGCGAAAAAAATGAATTGCAGAATAATTTATTGCGGAATTGCAGAACTTTTTTTTTTTACACGATTGGATAAATTATGAAGAATGGCAAAATGGCAGAATTGCAGAATATGCTTATTTAAAAATATTCTGTTTTTTACTATATATTATACAAAAATAAAATATTAATAATTCAATCAATTATTATTAAATGATATAATTCTAATTATAACTTTTTAATAATTTGTTTTTCAAAATAAAAAAATATTGCAAACCTTAAATAATAGATATAACTTTATCATTAAATAATTTTTTATAATACTAAATTATTTATTTGTATTTATTTAAATAATAAAATATAATTAGTTATATAATTGAATAATATAAACATTGATTCCACAAATAATCTACTTCAAACACGCTTTTCCGCTTAATGAAGATTTCTTTGTATTTTCTGTAAGCAAAAACGTAATTCCGCAGATCTTGCGTTTTTGCGTTTTTTCGCAGGTTTTTTTTATTGTCAAAATTCTTGCGTTTTTATGTTTTTCCACTATTCCAGAAGTGTTACCAATCAGAGCCAAAGACTGGTTAGAACGAGATTAAAGAAACTCCTGTTTTATCTTTAAAAGCTGCTTGAAACTTTAAAGATTTTAGCCGGTGTAGTGAATACAACCAGCGGCACTGTCTTTGTGGAATAGCCAAAGAATTTTGTATTTCAGAATCCCAATCATCAGGTTAAGTTTCTTCTCTTACAATGTTAATCATCTATTCATTTATATATTAAAAAGGATCATACTTTGAGTGTTTGCTCAAAGTATATGTGTTTGATTTCCGACTACAAGAAGAGAGCCGTCTCGAAAACGCGACATCCCCTTTTTTCTTTGATGAAACCTGATTCAGTTCCAAGTAAATGCCTATGAGACATTTTATGAGTTGTTCAGATACTTCGTTTGAGTCGTCTTTGCTCTTCACTTCCACCAGCCGAAGCCCATTTCTTACTCTACCCATCTGCGTTCTTGATATTCCATCAAACTCATCTGCCCATCAAAACCACGAATTTGAGGGCAATCTGAAGCATTCGGTTTGAAAATATATTTTTGGTTTGGTTAGGTTAGATTTTGAAAATAAAGTCCACTTTGAGAAATTTTGGTTTGGTTATTTCTGTCCTCTAGCACTATTGTGCAGCTTATAGACGTAAGGAATAAGCAACTACTTGAGACAGTATCTAGAGCAGAATGTTGGTAGTGATGTGACAGAGATCGTTGATGAAGTATCATGTAGATTATATTACATGTTGTAACTTTGAGTGTCTGTACTTAGGATTTGATAGTAAAGTGAAGGTGAAGTGTTTGACTTGAGTGTTGTGTGAATGTTAAATCTCGTTGGCTTTATTGTTGCTTCATAAATCTCTCATAGAAAGTGTGCTTTATATGATTTTTATAGACTATGTTGTGTATTGATGATTTTGGCAGGTGCATATTGTCTGAACACAATCTAATGGCTCAGTCTATGATTACATTGCCTCCTACTAAATACGTGGAAGAAGATTGTAAGATATGGGGATCAGTCAACAATCATTCAAAATTTAGTTACTTGAAGACTGTTAAAGAAATCCTCTCTGACTCGTTATTCAGTAGGCTGAAAACTACTTTTCTTGGCCCGATCATCAAAGCAGGTGGTAATCAAAATGGTGATGACTTGGGTTTTTCTGGGCAGCTGGTTCACTTTCTGGTAGTAAGACAGTTTGTGTCGTCAAGGGACGACGAGATTTGGTTTTGCATCAACAACAAGACGATGAGATTCTCATTGACTGAGTTTCATCTTGTCACTGGATTGCCATGCTGGATAAAAGAAGATGAAGTCACAGTAGATTTTGAGTGTGATTGGCCTTTATTGTTGCCTGACAAACGCCACAGGGTGGATGATTTGGTAGCACAATTGAAGGTCTTGGGTGAGAATGATGAGGAAAGCAAAGCTTGCTATGTTGATTGTTGTTTTGACCATCTTCATGTTGCCATATGGCATTACAAAGTACTCGATTCCGAAGGAGTATTTGGCCATTGCGAAAAAGAATATCCATGTGTATCCCTAGGGAAAAGTCTCATTTGACATGCTGGTGTCGTCGGTAAAATCATTTACCGTTGAAAATCTTAAGAAGATTGATCTTAAAGGGTTTCCCATGGCATTGCATCTATGGATGTTGGTATCTGTGTCAGAATTAGAAGAGGCTTATGCTCGGCCCGATAATAAATCAGATCGTTTTCCTGTTTGTGCGAGGTATTTATCTACTGTTCAGCCTTCTTATGATCAAATCATGAGTAAGGAAGAAGATCTTAAGGTAATCAATGTTCTTGGTGATTTGAATGAAGAAAAAGATGATGATGTTCTTATGCACTTGTTGAAGAGTGGTTACGTATTCTCTGAGTTAGATTGGAAGAGAGGTTATGCACTTGCTCAGCACCAAGAAGATCAGGAAGTTGAGATTAGTGATCGGTCAGACGCAGACTATGCAGATATGGATGAAACGCAGATGCTGAACACAGACGCAGATGCAGAGGATAAAAATTTGGATGAGACGCAGACGCTGAACAAAGATGAAGGATTGCTGAAACACAGACGCTGAACACAGACGCAGATACAGAGGATACCGAACCAAAGCATCAAAATTGAAAGAAACATAATCGAATAAGGCTGAATCAAAGTAGAATGTAAGAAGGAGAACGAATAAGTTTACAGATAAAACGGAAGAATAAAGAAAGCAAGCCATGTCCAATGATGAAAGAAAGAAGTAAAGAAAGCAAGCAAGTTTTCATTTGATCTCATGAGTTTCCAATGATGTTTTCTTCAGTGCCTTTGAGATTTCTTCGCATGTCCACTGGGAGAGTATATTTTTCTTGGTTAAGCCATGCGTCCGTATCGAGTTTTTTTGGGTGGTGTAGTGTGTAATACAGTGCTGGCAGAAGATTCATCATCTTGAAAACTCAGTTGTTGAAATTCTTCAACCAATCCTTGATCTTTGTTCAGCGTCTACGTCTCATCCAAATTGCTATCCTCTGCATCTACGTCTGTGTTCAGCGTCTGCGTTTCAACCAATCCTTGATCTTTGTTCAGCGTCTGCATCTCATCCAAATCGCTACCTCTGCATCTGCGTCTGTGTTCAGCGTCTGCGTTTCAACCAATCTTCTTTCAGCATCTGCGTCTCATACAAATTTCTATCCTCTGCATCTGCGTCTATGTTCAGCATCTGTGTCTCATCCACATCTGCATAGTCTGCGTCTGACCGATCACCAATCTCAACTTTCTGATCTTCTTGGCGCTGAGCAAGTGCATAACCTCTCTTACAATCTAACTCAGAGAATACATAACCACTCTTCAACAAGTGCATAAGATCATCATCATCTTCTTCTTCATTTGAATCACCAAGAACACTGATTACCTTAAGATCTTCTTCCTTACTCATGATTTGATCATAAGAAGGCTGAACAGTAGATAAATACCTCGCACAAACAGGAAAACGATCTGATTTATTATCGGGCCGAGCATAAGTCTCTTCTAATTCTGACACAGATGCCAACATCCATAGATGCAATGCCATGGAAAACCCTTTAAGAACAATCTTCTTAAAATTTTCAACGGTAAAAGATTTTACCGACGACACCAGCATATCAAATGAGACTTTTCCCCAGAGATACACATGGATATTCTTTTTCGCAATGACCAAATACTCCTTCGGAATCGAATACTTTGTAATGCCATATGGCAACATGAAGATGGTCAAAACAACAATCAACATAGCAAGCCGTAGCTTGCTTTCCTCATCATCCTCACCCAAGACATTCAATTGTGCAATCAAATCATCCACCCTGTAGCGTTTGTCAGGCAACAATAAAGGCCAATCACATTCAAAATCTATTGGGACTTCATCTTCTTTTATCCAGCATGGTAATTCAATGACAAGATGAAACTCTGTCAACGAGAATCTCATCGGCTTGTTGTTGATGCAAAACCAATCTCGTCATCCCTTGACGACACAAACTGTCTTACTACCAGAAAGTGAACCAGCTGCCCAGAAAAACTCAAGCCATCACCATTTTGATTACCACCTGCTTTTCTTAAACCCACTTTGATGATCAGGCCAAGATAAGTAGTTTTCAGCCTACTGAATAACGAGTCAGAGAGGATTTCTTTAACAGTCTTCAAGTAACTAAATTTTGAATAATTGTTGACTGATCCCCATATCTTGCAATCTTTTGCCCCGTATTTAGTAGGAGGCAATTGGTAAAAAAAAGGCAGAAGAGAGAGAGAGAGAGAGTGAGAGAGAGAGAGAGCTACTGCAAAATGAAAGTGGTCTAGAGAAGAAACAGAGCCCTAATAAAAGCAGAGAAAATAAAGCGGGAATGCGAAAAGACAGCATCCATAGTTGAAGATTATGTTGCAATTAAATTAACTAATACTAAGTTCAAATTAAATCATTGTTTAGAGTCAGATTAACTTAATCCACAAACCTTTGTGCACTTCTCCTCAAAACAAATAACATTATTTGATTAATTCTGTTAGTTTTCAAGTAATTGATTCAATGGTCATATTTTTGTTTGATGTCGGCACCGAATTTTGGAACTCGGATTTTGGAAAAAATAAAGAAAACATGAGCCTTTGTGATTTGAACCCATGAGCCTAAGATCCATACGAAATTTGGGTCACAAAATAAAATATTATCTTTGTTAAGAGATTTTTTTAATCACCGCCCAACCAACCCAATAACCCGGACGTTTGAATAGGCCCACTAGCCGAAGAGCCCCACGAAACTTGGGCCCCAAGACCCCTACAATACTTGGACAACGAAAATATATAAAATCTCGATTAAGAATTTTTTTTATTCACCGCCTAACCATCCCAATAACCTGGACGCTCGAATAGACTCATGAATCCATTATCCTAACAGCCCCATGAAACTTGGGCCAAGTTTGAGGGCAGTGCAAAGTTTAAGGCTGCTTGCAACAATAAGCAATGGTCTCATTTCTGCTCAAGAAAAGTACTTGAAATTGCCTATGCTCGGATCCAGGCTAGTTCTCTACTCCTTCCTCTACATATTTCTATATTATTATTATTACCTTATATCAGTCTTATTGTTAGTATTAATGTGTAGGGCAAAGATGAGTTGGTGAAACATTTCAAAGAAATGACGTATCCGATTGAGGAATACAGTGCGGTCTGTTTCAACCCAGCTCGTAGCGGATCGAAGACCACGGTTGAAACCGTCATGGTCGGTAATTGCACCCAACGAATGATATCGGCTTAGTTGTTGTCATACGTCATGTTATATATATTTAGGATTATAAATGTGTGTCTGTGATGGGTAAAAATCGAACTAGGAATAATGGATGTACTTAAAAATGCGAAAAAGGAAAAGAAAAGACTCAGACACCAAACCAAATCCAAGTAAAACTATGAAACTTTTACTACAAGTAAAAGTCGACTAAAACTTTTGGATTCTTCAGAGTCGACTAAAACTTTTACTACAAGAAATCCAGCTGATCATTATGACAACGATGATGTATCTCCTAAGGTACTGCCATTGCGTGAAGTGTTACAAAAGTCGGGGTTAAGGTTTCCTACAAAACTCAAAAGATGTAGGAAGCGTAGAATAGCCAAACATATAGGATATGGGATCAAGAAATACAAGAGTGGTGATTGTGGTGCATCGGCTTCAACAGAAGTGCCACTTAGTAAGTTGTTTCAAAAGGAGTTAGCGAAGAGGACAAGTGAGCATTTGAGAAACAAGAGACGTAAACGAGCTTGTGATGATGATGATGAGAATCATATGGATTGTCATGATGATATTACCATTGCTCAGTTGATCAAATCTAGAAAAAAAAACTAGAGGAGATGAATCTGACAATCTGAGAGAGCAGCATTATGATTGATTTCGATTATCAGAGTTTTGCTACGTTTCCTCTGGTTTAACTAAGTGCCAAACCTATTAGCGAGGCATGAAAATCTAAACAGAGAGAAAGACTTGCTTGTAGTCACAGATAATCAGGCTTCCGCCATCTTTGCAGACGAAGCACCAGTCCTCGCACTCCTTCTCATCCTCCTCATCCACATCCACAATCTCCATCCATATCTCTCGCTTTCGGATTCGCTACTTTGGTGACGTGACCTAAGTGACGACTGTGCAAGAAGAAACCCGATTTTTTATATTTTAGGCGGAAATTATCAAATTAAATAGCGCCAAATTTTACCCCCCCCCCCCCCCCCCCCCCCCCCGAATTTTTAACGCGACATTTTGGTTTACTTTCTCTATAGTACCCCCGTCATATACAAGACACGTGTCTTTTACACACGACTTCAAAAGATTATCTCGTAAAATGAACACTTTTTGGTGGTCCCAGCAAATTTTATAGATGAAAACGAGGATGATATATGCTAATTGTATATAATAATATGCTGATTGATCTTAGGGTTTTGCATGTTAGGAGTTTAAGGCCTAATTTTTTCTAACATTTCCTACTTTGAAATTCTTTGCAGGTTTGTTGTTGTTCTCGTGGCAATAGAAATAGAAGGATAAGCGACTCTAAACCCTTCAGAAGTAGGATTAAGGATTAATGAACCTTTCAGAATAGAAGGATAAGCAATTCTGAACCCTTCAGAAGAAGGACGAATGATTTCTGAACCGTCGAAGGATAAGTGATTCTGAACCCTTATCAGAAGAAGGTAAAAAAGAAAAAAGCTTGTCTCGCTTTTTCATCATCTTCTTCTCCAGATGGATCCGAATTCGAGTGCAGAAAAACACAAAGATCCTTGTTTGATGAAAACCCATTTTTTAAGACCTTACGTTACTTCCATTGATGGTCTTGTAGCGGAGCTCCCTCGTAACAGTCCGTCTGTAACCCTTATCAGAAGAAGGTAAAAAAGAAGAAAGCTTGTCTCACTTTTTCTGTGGAATCCGACCATAAGGTTGGATGGATGAAAAAGATTTTGGGAAAGATGTCTATCTCCAATGCATAAGCAGACGTGAAATGAAGAGTCAAATAAATTAATATGATCCCTCCAATGATTTTAACCTTACAAGCTAACTTAGACACCAATGAATCTGATGAAATGAACGACTCGTTCTGTTTACTTGAATATGAAACGATTTGGGGGATTTTGGGGGAAGAGTAAAAGATGAAAAGCATACAAGAGATGCAGATGGCTCTTGTATACAACTGAATGGATCTAAGGATATGACGCACAAGAGATTCAGTCAGGTTTTCTAAAGAATATTACACACCAAGAGAGATGAGTTTAGTTTCATCTTTCTTTTTATCAAAAACCTTTTCTAAAAAGTCGGAGATATCCGATGGTCTCTTGAATTTATCTAAAAAAAATTCTATCAATTATCAACTTACAAAATTCTTATTATTTACAAATTATCTATAATTATTTATTTAAATAGTAATTTTAGTCTATCATATGTCTTTCAGTTTGTGAATTTGATTTATATTAATATCTACAAAATATTCAGTTTGACCGAAAAAAAAATTCAGATATCTTTTATAAAATCACAAAAGGAGACTGTGTAATAAAAACGATAATCAATGATAACTAGAAATTAAATCTAAATTCTCTTTCCTCTGTAAATTCAAACAAAATTAAAAAAAAAAATCAAAAACCTTAACTTTTGACGCTTTTTTCTTCCTCATAACTCAAAAACCTTTTATCTTTGTTTTCAGTTAGTAGTAATGGCGGTGAAGGAGAAAGACCAGTGATAGGAACCAATCTTGGTACTAATTGTACACACAGAACACTACATACTGTGTTTAAGTGTATCTTATGTTTTCCTTGAGTAGTAAGCCCACCCCAAGATGAGTGTTCTCCTATTCCGACTTCCCCAAAGCCTCCGGTAGCACAGCCGAGACAGCAACGGGTTCTCTGCCCCAAGGCCGGCTCTGGGCTAAAGCCCAAATATTTAAGTAATATTAAGGGGTGCCAAATTTTTAAAATGTACTCATGGTGTAGTTGAAAAATCCGGACTTTTTGGCTTCTAGATACAAGGTTCGATTCTTGAATATGTAGTATAATTTTAATTAGTATTTATAAATGAGTTTAAAAATAATTTGAGCTTTAGGTGCCAAATAGGTGCGGACCGGGCCTGCTCTGCTCCTGAGGGGTAGAGTGACAGAAGTTTTGAGAATTCAAGAGATGGTCACAGCGAGACGAGCTGTTTATCATTATGATAGGTACCAAGTGGAAGTGCATGTATGCAGCTTTGGGATCTTGGTTCATTCAGATCAAGCTTTCTTTGCGGATCATCAGCCATGAGAGAACCAAAATACACTCTATAAATTACCAAATAAACTAATTAGGCAACGGAGGTGGAGTAGAAGGAATGAAAGAGAAAGACAAAGAAGATGTTGAGAGATTTCTTTATTTTTTTGTATCTCGAGAAAAACAACATTTATTTCTATGACCAACACAGCGACAATATCTTTCAGGTTTGATACTTTCTGAATTTTTTTTACGGTCAAACTGAATATTTTGTAGATATTAATATAAATCATATTCACAAACTGAAACACATATGAAAGACTAAAATTACTATTTAAATATATAATTATAGATAATTTGTAAATAATAAAAATTTTGTAAGTTGATAATTGATAGAATTTTTTTAGATAATTATAATTTTGTGACAGAAAAAAAAAAGATAAATTCAATTTTTGTGAGCATCTTACAAGCGTATATAAAGTTGTAAATTCTTTATTTTTTGAAAAAAAAAAAGATAAATTCAAGAAGTGAATATCAATTGGCAGACATCTAGCCTTCCTTCCAAGACTTAGGAGTCATCTATCTCTCTCAACAATGACTCCATAGCCATAGAGTCTACACTCCATTTCCGTATGGTTTTGTCCCATGTGGTTTTCCATACTTAGGAGTTGTTAATGAGGTAGGTCTTCATGGTTCCACCTTGGCTCTGAGCTCTCTGTTAAGATGATGACATTAGTTAAGGGTATGGAAGTATGTGGTGCAAGCGCTAATCCTCATGAACAACCTGGTGTAAACGCTGAAGCTGGTGAACCACTTTCTGGTGCAAACGCTGAAGCTGGTGCTGGTGCAAACGCTGAAGCTGCTGTAAACGCTGAAGGGTCTACGGTCCTGCGGAAGGACAATGGGTTTTTCCAAACGCCTTTCTGGTTTTTCAAACCTTGTAAATGAAACTTGTTATCAAAATATAAAAGACTCGGTTTTAATATTACAAAAATGCAATGCATTTAGATAAATATATTGTCATTATTTGTACGCGGATCCTAATATATATTTTAATTATGAAAAAGTAGGATAAATAATTCTTTAAAATTTTGAATAAATAATTTTATCTATATAGATATAACATTAGAAGTAAACATAATTAATATAAAAATATTAAAACATATATATTTGGAAATATTAATAAATTAAATTTTATTTTTTTCTTATAGATTACATGATTATTTTGTTCATATAGATTATACGATTTTGTTTTCAATTTATTTTACGAATTTAAAATATCTGATTAAAACCCGCATATAAGGGATTAATCCATTTACTAAAAAGACTGTTGATATCTATTTAGTCTTCTTAATCTATTTACTAGTCGAGCTGTCGCCACGTGGTTAATCCGCATATATGCAGGTCTTATTCTAGTAAATAGATTAAGAAGACTAAATAGATCGCCGAAATGTCGCCACGTGGTTAATCATAGACTTGCCGTATTTTTCCAGATCTTTTCCAAAGCTTATCGAGGAAGCTTTTTCTGTTTTCCATATTATTTTTTATTATTCTAAACTAGAATAGAACCCAATATGCCAGTAAATATTTGAGTTTTCCAGTAAAGTTTTTTAAAACAATTCTCTTTAATTTAAAAATACAATTTTTTAAAAACAATTCAATTAATTTTAATAATATTATCATTCAAACCATTCAAAGAAAGTGAAGAGTTTTTTTTTATTGACTAGATAATACGTGAATGTTAAATAACATTTTTTTATTCTAATTCAATCAAAAAAAAATTGGATATTTTATTTTATTTTTATATAACTCTTGGTTTTTCAATGTTATTCAAAATTTTTAGGAAATCAGAAAGAAGATGCTGGAAGAAGTATGGGTTGGTCGGTGAGTACAGTGATGCAGTCGCCATTTTCGATCACTCCAAGAAACCCAAAAGTTTTCTTGGCGATTCGATGAGACTAAAAAGAGAAATTAACTTTTCGGTGCAACCATGTTTAGCGTTTGGGCATGGAAAGATGGTTTGCTTCTATAACTCTCTCCAATGTTCTGCATCGATGGATACCAATTGGTAAAGCGCAGGTAGGGCACTTTCTCCTCATCATAAAACAGCAAGAAGAATAAGCTATATGTCCATTGTAAATTATTTAATTTTTGAAAAAAAGATAAATTGAAGAAGTGAAGATCTATTGGCAGACATCTTCACCAAAGGAGCGAGCCTTCCTTCCAAGACTTGGAGTCATATCTCTCTCAACAATGACTTCATAGCCATAGAGTCTACACTTCATTTCCGTATGGTTTTGTCCCATGTGGTTTTCCATACTTAGGAGTTGTTAATGAGGTAGGTCTTCATGGTTTCACCTTGGCTCTGAGCTCTCTGTTAAGATGATGACATTAGTTAAGGGTATGGAAGTACGTGGTGCAAGCGCTAATCCTCATGAACGACCTGGTGCAAACGCTGAAGCTGGTGAACCACTTTCTGGTGCAAACGCTGAAGCTGGTGCTTGTACAAACGCTGAAGCTGGTGTAAACGAGGGTCTACGGTCCTGCGGAAGGACAATGGGTTTTTCCAAAAGCCTTTCTGGTTTTTCAGACCTTGTAAATGAAACTTGTTATCAAAATATCAAAGACTCG